TTTTATTTCCGAAAATTGGGGGAAAAAAGAACAAAAATGAATGTTTGTATATGCGAGTGTTTGCTTGTGCTTTTCAGCTGATGATGATTTGCTGTTATTACCGAATATACGCTTGTCAATTTGCGCCTATTCACCACTTAACAGTGACCACCTCCCTCTCTCTCTCCCCACCATCTCGCAGCTACGCCTGCGGTGACTACTCTTTAGTCAAATCATTTTGTTTTTGTCGATTTCGTCTATGAAATTGTTGTTTTTATTTGCGTGTACGCGTATTGCTGTTGAAGTGGCACACCAACCAACAAGCAAAGATGCAAACAAACAAACAAACAAACAATAACAAAGCAGAATTTTCACGCGTCACAAAGCAACAAATGAATGAACAAATGCTGCCAGGAGCAGGGAACGGAGAGTTAGAGCCAAATGGTTGACTACGTACTGTCTTTGGGTGTATTTTTGGCATTTTGGGGTTTTCGGTGGAAAATCTGCGCACACACGCATTCATATATATATATATATATATATATATATATATATATATATATATATATATATATGTATGTATGTATGTACGAACGAACAGTGGAACAGTGTTAGTTTGTTTATTGGTGCGTGTACTGTTTAAGCATTATGGGGTCATAATTTCTAACTGTTATTATACCTTTTAGCTATGTTCGCCTGCCACTGGGCGCATAAATGTTGAGAGGGTAAATTTTTCGGCTGGCAGCACATACACACATGCAAACTTACATTCAAACATAGGTACATATGTAGGTATTTGACGATTAAAAGTGCTCACTCATATACGTTGTATAATCTGTGGGAATGTATATTTACGTATGTAGTTGAGTAGTACCATTTAAAGTCTGTAGGGTTTTATACACGATGCCACCCACTCAATTTGGCGGCATGTGTATGTGTGTGTGTGTGAGAATTTTCGGCATATGAAGACAGTGTTTTGATACGAATAGGAAACACTAGTTGCTCAAGGAGGAAGAAAAAAAATCGAGGTGAGTGATAAAGAAATAAAACTTGTTGAAAAAACATATTATTAAAATAAAATATTATTAATTTGCTCTTTTATACACTTTTTTTTTTAATATTTTTTGTTAATTATGTTTTCCACATATTTGCACATTTTAAGGCTTGTATTATATATCTCATTTTCTGGAAATAAATTGATCAGCTTGGGATATTTAGAAGAAAAGCCACCTGGTAGTTTTTGATATCTTATTTAAATTAAAAATAACTTGGTTTTGGTACCTTTATTTTTTATTTTCCTTTAGATATAAGACAATCTTGCAAAAAGATTTCAATGAACATCAATTCTTCTCAGAATTTTTTTCATGTGTTTCTTTTTTATATTCGAATTAACTCCGCTACGAAACTGGAATCGCAAATAGTCCCTATTTTTCTTTTTTTAAGGAAAAAAAAATACATAAATATCATAATTAATAATAAATTATTTTTTTACTTATCGCTTAGAAAATAATTGTTAACAATTAAGTTATATTTTTACATCAGATGTAATTTTTACATATCGATTTTAAATTTTCGCTCAAAAGTATTGATTATATCTGAGCTTTAAATTTTTCTCTTCAAAAGTAATTATAATCTTGATGTGAGTAATATTTTTATTAAAAAAAAAACGATTCTATTGAGATTAACTTTTTTCACCAAAAAAGTTTATTTATTTTTTGACACTCAAGTTTTGTTTTCACAAATAACAATTATTGCTTGGATTTTATTTTTCAAAGCGAAATTGCTATTAATAGTATCAAAAATGGTTATCAAGCTGATGTTACTTACAATGACGTCAGCAAAGCATTTTGGGTTTCCACCTTCTTTTCTCAAGTGGACTAGTAGTATAGTACTTGAGTGGTGAAATAAATAATTATAAATTAAATAATAGCAATTTGTAAATATTTTGAATCAAATTTTATTTATTTAAAAAAAGAAAATATTCATAAATCTAAGTTTATGTAGATGAGTAGACGTATAAAAATATTGTTTGAAACTTTTTTCTTTTTTAAATGGCGGCGGTTAAAGTTACTTCTGAAACACGTCCCTTTTGTTGGTGAGTGACACGATAAGTGTATAACGAATCATTGAAATTAAAAAAGCAACACGGTTTCCTATTCTGTATCACATTGGCTAAGGCCGGAACTATAATAAAATATTTTCATCAAAAAAAAAAAAAAAAAAAAAAAAAAAAAAAATGGCGGTTTTTTTTTTTAATATTTTTTACGTTTTTTTTTTTCAATTTTAATTGTTTATAAATTTTTAAAATAACCATGAATATTTTTGGTTGTAGTTTCGACCATAAAGAAACATTTTAGGAGTAAAATGCCTTAACGGTAATTTAATTCATCTTGATAAGTACAATAAGTTCTAAATAAGAGTGTCCCCAGTTGAAAAAATGTGTTTTCGACAAAAAGGCGGTTAAAGTTTTTGTTCGTGAGTATTTACCGCTTGGAGCGCTACGCTCTTTCTTCTTCTACACTTACTTCTCTGTCTTGCGGGACTTCGAGGCTAATTCAATACTATTTCTTAGAGTATTTTCTAGTAATTTACAGGAATAGAAAACGCCGTGTTTTTGAAAATTTTTTTAGAGAAATCTGCTCATAATTCTAAAATGTAAATCTCTTTAACTCGGTTAGTTCAATTGATGATAGGGAACTTTTTCAACTTCCTCTAAATAATTTAGTTAGATGGCGCGAACAGTGTGTCCCTAAATTTAAATAAATGCAAACATATGTGTTTTCCCAGAAAATCGTTTCAACATTTGGCTATATGATACATAAGTTATTGACTTGATAGACTTAAGTGGGTGCCACAATAGATCCTAAGATAGATTTTAGAAATCATATATCATCATCAAGTCGAGTGCTAAAGAGCTCAATTTTCATCTACCCATCTTCTTCTCCTTCTTTAACGCGCCATCCTCTTTTTCAACGGGTACTGCAACTAACACTTTCAGAGAGGAGTACTTTTATCAATACTACGGACGACGTGATCGCAACTCCGACTGCGCTTCTGGTGTTGCTCATCATTCATTTATTTACACAGCTGTACATTTTTGGCAGATATACTAAATCGGCGTAAAAGCAGCGCCTTACTGTATTGACAAATGTGATGTGTATCGATTCTTCTCGTAGGGATCTTGTCTAAGACTTGGCGCATGATGAGACCCAAGTAGATAGTTGACAGCAGGCTTTAATCTTTCACACGATACGCTCGATAGGACCTTATATGCGGTATTTAATAGGTTATCCCATGGTATTAGGCACGGCATGTTTCAATTCCAATCATCGGATATGCATACATCGGACTGCGTGTGCTCCATTTTGAGTGCCATTTAACAGGCCGGAGAAGTGTGCCCTCCATAAATTCAGTATACTTTGAGTATGAGCCATTAGATCACACCCCTGCTTTCATATTTCACAAATTGCACTCGAGGCTCTTTTTGGGCCTCATTTGAAATCCGTGGTACCTATCGAGCAGATTTCTTCGTATATCCCAGATGATGATGATGAAACAGCCATGGCATTCAAGCCCAATTAGCAATCATATTTTGTGTCAATCGTGGGACTTCGTAAATTTTGGCTTTCGCCGGAGCTACAGTAACGTCATTAATGGAAGATCGTCCTCTAAGGAAAAATGTCAGGTTTGGAATACTCGGAACCACTTAGAAATAGTCTTCAAAGACGATGCAATCGTTCCATATGCAATTTGGCATTCACTGAATGCTTGTATTGACTGTAAATCACGCCAAAACCCGAAGAGAATCACGTGGGGAATTTCTGTTTGCGTTGGTGGTGAAATTTCGTCTGACGTATCCTCAGCTATCTTGTGTTTTCTCGTCTCTATTTCAGCCGATTATTCTAAAATTTGAATGAAAGACTAATAAGGTAACTGCAAAAGATTTGGTATTTTTAGATTTAACGAAAACAAATGGAAAGTCAGCAAATGGCCGAACTTTTGTTAATCCCCTCGTATGTGGTAATAATTTATAATATATTGTGGGAGCTTTAAGCAAACTAAACTCAGATATTTTTATTCTAACTTTGTTATCAATAATGTAAGGATTGATGTCCATCCTTTATTCTTATATCCTCATCTTGTCTTATATCTTCTATATTTTCGACCGAACACTTCCGCCAATTCGTGGTGTGCGCCTCGATGATGTTTTTCCAACACATGAAAAGTACTACAGATTTTACTAAGCCGGCTCCGACCAGCTGATGATTTTTTATGAGGAGCCTTATCAGGTTTTGGCGTTCTTTACTCAACAGCATAATAGTCTACAAGATGCAGATCAGTCTGTTCATACGTCCCATCAGCTATGGTATACTGATCGGGAGCTCAAGATTAAGACCCGGAAGGGAACCTTAAACTGATGTTCGTAGAGCTTCTGACCATGAAATGACAATTTAGAAAGTCCGACAGTTTATTCATTCGAATGGCTGAGAATTGTATTACAAAACCAAATAAGCGTCAAAATGCATTTCTAAATTAAGTAATTCATTTATTGCCACCAAGGATTGGTTGAAATACTTAATAACAAGAACTGTTAGAAGCGAAACACAGTACGAAAATATTTTCCTTTGTATGCATGGCCAAATTACTGACTGTTGGAAGTCTACTTAAAGGCGTTCCAGCAACGAACAGAATTTTACTTAAAGAAAATGAAGTGTGTATGTGTGCTTACTTGATTTGTATCTTAAATTGGGTGTGTGACTGATTATCCCATTGGGTTTGATTGCTTATACACACATATGTACATGCAAAAATTGCACAGTGAAGGGCGGTCAATATCATTAAGCATAAGGTAAATGAGTATTGCAATTGTTAATGATAATTAATTCATATGTTAAATTGAAGCAACAAGAAAATGATCAATAGGACTTACGTCTGAATGTCAAATATATTTGTTTATAAAGCCAAATAAAATAAAATACAATTCTTCCACTCTTCTTTCTTTTTCTCCTTCATCCATATAGTGAAACAGGACCAATTAGCAACAATATGCATAATCAAAAGTGTGAGGGGCAATCGAGGTGTAAATTCTTCAACACCATTTCCCATGTTTTACTCATAATCGCCATAATGAATTTGAAACTCGCCACAGCACTTGCCGAGGAGGCCTCCGCCGGTGTAGCATTGCCGGTTGCTAATGAGGAGAAACGTAATTGGCAGGCATTACAAGGTCCATGGGGAAAACGTGCCCACTACAACGAGCACACACTACCCGAGTCGAGTGAGCCAGAGGATGATGAACGTCTCGTGCCGCTTCTCATTAGTAATGGTGAACGCGATGAACCATTTCTGAAATTCTCCATGATGTACCTGACCAATGCTGGAACACTGGATCGTTTGTTGAATGATAGGCAAGAGGAGCCGAGTGGAATGAGAATGAGTGATGATCTAATTACTTCGTTTGAGGATAATGACGGTTTCGCTAACGCCAATGATGATCACGATAATTTGCTGAATGAGAAACGCGCTTGGAACAAGATCAACGCAGCATGGGGTAAGAGACGTAATGCGCCTACTTGGAACAAATTTAGAGGTGAGGTTTTTGAGTTGCTTAAATATTACTTATTTTTATTTCATAATGCATTCCTATGTATTTCTACACCCGCAGGCGCCTGGGGGAAACGTGAGCCTGGCTGGAATAATCTCAAGGGCATGTGGGGCAAGCGTTCGTCCAAGGATTGGGCAAAATTGCACGGCGGTTGGGGCAAGCGTTCCCTGAACTAAATTGTTGCCAAGGCCGAAATGTTGCCAAATTTGATGGTAATCCTACAAATGAATATGCAGCTACTACGATGGATGTGCTAAATGGCGGTTAACGTTTTTCAAAAAAAACAACCAAACAACAAATCTAACAACAATCATAAACGAAACACTGACAAATGTATACAAAGTCACATTATATAAACATATTTGCCTCTATTGTAAATTTTCACTTTCTCCATTATATATGTATGTATATATGTATACATAATTAGTAAAAGTATTCATATCTCTTGTAATAATACATATATGTATGTAAATGTATGGAATAAGTTTATTAATTCATGTAACGGGAGCTATGTAAATCTAAAAAAAAAAATGGTCAACTATGCATAAAAATAAGCATTTACACACATACAAACATTATATTATATATAAACATAACACTCTTAAGTGTTATTATTTCCTAAAAATAAAAATTAAAAATAAATAAATCAGACACACACAGCAGAAATTGGAAAAACTCTAATTCAAATCCGGTTATCTACTTCAAATTTTTAATACCAAAAATGTATGAAAGCCTTAAATGTTTTGTAAATGTCAAGTATGTAAATGTGTATAGATTTTTATTTTATATTCATACTTTTTCGAAAAGGAGTATTTAAGAAGTTTCCCCACTCAAAAGCAATTTCGCACATGAAGAAGAACAAAGGCACAGAAAAGTAAAAAATTAAGTGAAGAATGAACTACAGATCCAGTCAATTAGGTCTGGTCCTATGTAAAAAAATTGCAAGTAATTTATAAAACCCACAATTTAACAGTATTAAATAAAGAGTATTGTAAAAATAGTAATTCAAAACAAAATGTTTCAAATTTGCCAATATCTTTTAGCAGAAATATAAACACCGCTATCTCATCTCATTACTTTCATCTTTCATTAACCATCTCTACATTTTACCTACATATAATTCGTTTCTTCTGTACCCAACTTGCAATGGAACGTGCGTTGGGTTGTCGAATTACATGGAAAACAACAACAATTAATAAACAACTTGTGTTAATTTAAGCGGTCTTAGAAGAAATCTATTAAGGGGTGACGTAAACGTCAAAAAACACCTGTCTTAAAGCCGGGTTGCCGAGTGGTTAGCATTGCGTACTGTCATTCGGAAGGCTCGCATATCCCGGTGCCACCAACATCCAAAAGTTATAGAAAATTAATTAAAATAAATTAAATTAAGTTAAGTTTTCTAATTGCGGCCGCCCCTTGGCAGAGAATGTCCACCGCTCCGAGTGTACTTCGGACTGATAAAAGGCTCTTCGTAAACAAACCATCAGTCGTTCGGAGGCGGCTTTAGTCTCTCCATTTGCTGGAAAAACAACAAGACGCAAAACCGCAAATTGGTGGAGTTAGCTCGGCCGAAAAACGCTTCAGCGGTTACAAAGCGCCACCTATATACAATATAAAAGAAAGGAATACAAATTGACGGAACTGTAGACATTCTGTAATGTATTTTTTCTTCGAATAGCGACACGCAGCTCACAGGGTGCAAAATTGAATTTGAAATAAAATAAATATTTTTTTTCTTAATCTATGTGAGAAGAGAGAGTATTGATTTTTTGTAATTGGCAAGCACTTGACGAAAAACTCATTTGTTACCCTTTAAGAGAGAGGCCACTGTGAACGCTAAAAAAAAACACCTGTTTTTAATCATTTTTTTATGTGGAAAGAAAGGAAATACGAAATAATAAAAATAAATAATAAATAATATCTTATTAGTTTCATATATTATACAAAAAAGGAAGGGAGTCTCACATATACATTGCCACTTTATAAATATTTTATATACAGTCAAAGACAAAAGTTTAAATACACCTATAGAATTCCACTTTTTCTTAAAATTAAGCATTTTAGAGGAAATATAAGAATGCAGTTTTTTTAAGTAGATAATTAATCAACAATACAATCCCAAAAAATACTCAAAGTAGGGTAGATAACGGTAAATTTATTAAAAACATGAAATCCCGCCATGAAATCTTTAGAAATAAAGTACCTGCAAGAAGGCTTCCGATCATTTGAGTCAACATATGTCAGGAATGCATGAGGACATATCCCGTCAGCTCGAAGGATGATTTTTCTATCACTTTCTCAAGGCCGCAATGACAAACGTGATGTTTACATTTGTGTACGTGTACGTCATTCTCTCTTCGTTTCCTTGTGCGATTTTGTCATTCTTGTCGGACAAATAGAACACATATGAGGGACAGCATTGATGTCGATAGAAATACAATAATTATTAGGATCCAATCTTTATTTCAATATTTAACATAAATCATGAATATGGTTTGCATAGCATACAAAAGTAATAAGAATACAACAATAAAGTCGTTTTCAAAAATCAGCAAAATATTATAAGTAAAACCGCATGCACAGAAGTCTTTAATAGCGACCCAGTTCCTCAGCTTCACGAACGCCTCCGTCATAATCGCAGCTCCTTTGAAGTATAAAGACATTTAGTAAAATTAAAAAATACTTTCCAAATCAAAAGGTTTTTAATATTTTAATGCAGTTGCACCTCGCAAAATTTTGTTGAATATATTTGAGATGTGCTGCTGCTGCAAGACGAGAAGCGTCCATTCTACTCAACCTGCCACATTAACAGAACTCTCCGTACAATATTGAGTACCCTTAAATTAAAAGAATGTAAAGAGTTATGGAAAATAAAGTAGTTAATTAATCGACAATATATTATATTATTGCTACAGCTTGTACAGGATCCTTAGCCAAAATTTTCACTTTTTTACGTTGTTTGCTGCTGAGAAAACTATAAAAAATGGCGTTCTACTCGAATATAAGGACAAAAAAAATCGGATAATCTGTTCAACTGTATTTTTTTTTCAATTTGCATGTACTCAGAAGAGAAAGATAAACAAAAAAAGGTGCATATGTGTTAGTGCTGCCCGAAATTGTGTGAGTGTATTGGTGAACCCATCAGTCCGTTCTTGCAGGGAACTTTTACACATTTACCCGGTATTAGATGCGACTCGCTACGCGAGTGTGCAAAATATTGTTCGAAAGTAAAAACCTACAAATCTTTTGGAAATAGGCCAAGATCTAGGCGTCCAAGGAAGCTATCCTGGCGAGATTTTAGTTTTATCACCAAGAAAGTGATAAAAAATAATAAAATAAGTGCTCCAAAGATAGCCGACAGCATCGCTAAAATATTGGGTAAAAATGTACACCCAAAAACTATGGCAAGAGCTTTACGGGAAGATAGCTATCGAAGCAGAGTTCCACACAAAAAAGTCTCTAAGATCGGAGTAAAATAAGCAACTTCTACTTTAATTTGCAAATAAATACAAGGATATGGATAATTTTTTTTTGGAGAAGACTCCTGTTTACGGGTGAATCGAAATTTAACGTGTTCGGAAGCGTTGGCTGCGTAAAAATTTGGCGTAAAGCAATGACAGCGTATCAAACTCAAAATTTAATACAAACCATTAAGCACGGTGAGGGTTATCGTCAAGGGGTTTGGGGTGCGATTGGAGCAAATCGCGTAGGACATTTAACGGTTGGCGATGGAATAATGAACTTATATGTTTACAAAAGTATTTTGGATCAACCTAGGCAGCCTTCCGAGGGTTGCTTGGGTCTCGGAAGCTCGTAGATATTTCAACAAAAAACAGACCTAACCATACAGCGGGTTCGGGAAAGGAATGACTATTGTATTATTCTCCTCGTCAGCTTTATAGTCCGCGGCAATCATCAGACTTGAACCCCAATGAGCATATTTGGGAGTTATTGGCACGAATAATAAGCCTTGGAAGAATATCTGAAAATGGCATAGTCTGAAATTGCGCCATCGGAAATAGAAAATTTAGTCATCCAAAGGCAGTTATAGAAGCATGGGATGCGACCCTTTATTTTTAGTTTAATTTAGTCAAATTATGAAATAATACGTATTGTTTTTCAACTTTTGTCCCGCGTTATTTCATGTTTTTAATGAATTTACCGTTATTTACGCGACTTTTAATATTTTTGCATTGTTGATCAATTAACTACTTTAAATAAACTGCATTCTTACATTTACTCTGAAATGCTTAGTTTTAATAAAAAGTGGAGTTCTATAGGTGTATTTAAACTTTTGTCTTTGACTGTACATATATTTTTTTTTTAAATGTTAAGCCGCCTGAAAAGAATTTTATTTCCATTAGATTTCAGAAGATTGTGCAATGTAAACCCTTTGAGTTTTGTTGAGTACGTTTTATTTTTCCACATTTTTTTTTGTTTATTTTTTTAATTTTAGTAAATTGAATATTTATTTTTTTAAAAAATAATATATTTGAAAAAAAAATAGAGTAAAACTACCGTGTTTTTCGTATCATGGTTTCATATTTAAATAGAAAAATTTAATTCACAACAAAAAATATTTTAAAATGGCGTAACTATGGACATTTTTATATCATGATTTCTCTTTTAGGAGCTCCATGCACGCATCACACAGAGTGCAAAATAGAATCTGCGACAAAATAAAATTTTTTTTGCTTGCCCGTTTTGTTTTTACATGAAAATATCTAGAGAATGACGTACGGATTTTAAAAACTATTGATTTTGGAGAAATTTGTAAGCATTTGGGAAAAAAACTCATTTTCCACCAAAAAAGCGGCACCCAATTGTTTATAAAAATTGGTTGAATTAGTTGAAAAATTTGAATACTACCAGTTTCACCAAGGTTCTGAGCACTTGTCATGCTGCGGATTTTTATCGGTTGAGAGCTTGTGAAATTACTTACTTACTTTCTTACTTACTTATTAGTGACGTGACTCCGAAAGATGAAGAAAAGCCGTAGATAATTTTGCCTATCTATGGACCATAATTAACACCAAAAACAATGTTAGCCTGGAAATCCAACGCAGAATCACTCCTGTCAACAGATGCTACTTTGGTCTGAACAGGCAATTGAAAATTGGTTTTCGGTGAATATTGCGGGAGTGACAGTCCTTGGCCGGATAAAAATCTGGGTCGTTCCGGAGAAAAGACCGACTGTCGCGGGAACTATTGGATTTTAGTCGCCTCTAACGACAGGTATGCCTTACCACGGCTAAATTCTTGAGCCTCTAATCCGCAGGGTCGTCGTTCCCGTCCATCTATATGGTGGAGAGGCATGGACGATGACAACATCTGATGAGTCGGCGTTAGAAGTTTTCGAGAGAAAGGCTTTGCTTGAGGAACGAAATAAACGGTGGCATTAACATAATTCAGTTGAGAGTTTTTGATGCAAAACCCGCCAGTGGAAGCTGAGGAAGAGGAAGATCTACACCAGTTAGAAAATGCTGTACTTGATATACATATGCACTGCGTACAAGCGTTCTTGTTGCTCAGAATATCTCATTGATCCAACCCTCCCTGATTTTTTGATTTTTGAGACTTTTTTCGAAAAAATAAATAAATAAAATTAAGACAAATATAAAAAAAAAGTAAACTAAGATTTTTTCGACAAATGGCGCTGTTGGGAAAGCAAATTAGGAGATAAAGGGAATGTTGAATGAAGAAAAGTGATTTACTATTCATTTTGCCATTTTCGGTACATTGCATGTATTACATTTCCTTGACGCAAATGAGAAATAAAAAAAATTAAATTAAGTATAAAAACAAATAAAATAAAAAAGAAAAAAATTAAAACAAAGTAAATTAAATACTAAATATTAAATAAACCTTTAAACTATCAAAATAAAAAAAAAAAAACAAAATAAAATAAAAAAATAAATAAAAAAAGAAAATATTAATTAAAATGATTGGGTCACGTCTTCACTTTCGACTGGTCCCTTATTGGGTGTTGTACGCGCTAAGTAAACCCATTTGACTTAAGTTTTCTGGTTATAAGTTCTCTGGAGATGTCGCCATTTTAATGTGGAACTTAGCGGTGACACAGAACCATAACCTTAAAAAGCGGCATTGCAAAAACAGCTGTTATAAAGGCGCAAATAAATAGTTTATTCCGGCATTCTACCAAGGCATCTTTCGGTTACCATTTTAATCGTCGAAAAGAAACTATTTACATTTGCTGTAAAAATCAAAAATATACAATGCGGTGTTTGCAAAACTATTGGTGAGCTACATACATAGGACTGAAGTTTCAATTGAAAGGTTATCATTAAAAATTCCTTTTCCTTTGCAGCGATTCACCCAACAAATTGGTGGAGCGCTCTTTGAGTATGCATCTGCGTGCCAAAAATGCAAAGTATAGTCTGCGTTGGGGCTGCGTCAATGTGTTGTTATTAGCCATACTCCTATTTGATATATCAAATCAATGCCCATTTAGTCGCTCTAAATGGTATTATGTGGAGTACGTTGCTGCCGTGTTAACGGGACTTGGCGCATTTTCCTGTTTCCTCAAATACTTTTTATACATTTTCCATAAGGATCCCATAGTGGGCACAAAAGAACAGAAGAATTTGCTGAAATTTGATGATGGCGGTAAGAAATCGGAATTTATTGCCCATACACGTAAAATTTAACTTAGAACTCTTTGCAGATTCGTCTTTTCTGGTCTCACCACCGGCGGAGAAGAAAAAAGAGCGTTGCGAAGATTTAGCACCGAACCTAATAAATAACACATTATTGAGTTGGCATTCATCTTTTAATGATTGTAAGATTATATGAAATACTTGATTAATATAATGTATACATATGAATATATCTGTTTTGTACAGCTCGTGCTGGAATGTCGCACAATTGGAGTTATAGTCGCACTACCCCGCCTCGTAGCAGTTTCAGTCCACAGCAGCAACAGCAACAACTTAATGCTTCGTGGAATTCCCCAATGAGTAATCGTTCAATGGTGCTCGGTGCTAACAATAGCTCCATGAATAATACCAATTCCTTTGTAGAGTCTTACCCGAAATACAAACGTGATGAGTTGATAACTGATGAAGAGAGTTTGAAACAATATTTGAAGTGAGTTAGTTTTTGGTATCTTACAACTTTTTTTTTTTGGAATTTACATATGTATTTTTTTCAGAGAATTCTCCATACATGAGCAAAGTATGAACGAGACAGCGGATTTAAGTCAACATTATAATACCAGCTCTGTCAACTCGTTTTGGAATTATTGCAATACTGCTGCTAACATGCTCAAGACCTCCATTTACCAATTGGCGCCAATGACGAGTGAGTTGTGTTAGAATACAAACGTTTAAGTGCAAGAAAATAATAAAAAAACAAAATTATTATAGCGCCTTCTACGCCTAGTAAACAATCAGCTACGGAAGATGGTGGCCTTAAATTTATGGATCACAACTCGGAAATCATTAGGCGTATTTCTTCCGAAAAACTGTCACAATATGTGGCCAACTTGAGAAGAGTAATGCTGAAGTGCAAAATAATGCATTATTGAAACAGTCAATATAATTTGATTTATTTCTAGTGGATGTCTGCTACCATTTTGGAGCGTTTGTCTAAGGAAATCAAAAATATTGATGAATCTTTTAAAAATCGTGGATTTGCGGATATGCGTATGGGTGGCATTAGCTTGGAACGGCTTAAGAAAACAGTTGAAAACCAACAATTTGTTAATCAGTATATGCCAATGCTGCCTTTGATACTACCATTTTTGGAAATGTCCAGCAATCAGGAGTATTTGGTGCAGCGTATTAAAGGTTAATGCACATAATAAATCCTATTATTTACATGTGATTTAAAGAAATGGTTTTTGTTTTAGATTTAGCAGAAGGCTCTTGCATTGCGGATTATCGTTGGAACTCTGGCGCTGCTTATCACGGCTTAAAGTGGGATGAGCATCTACCCACCGATGCAGCTGTACGCTGTTTACTATAAATAATTAAAATATTTTAAATTATCGAACTAATTTTTCAGATACTGTTTCACATTTTCTGTGTTTATATGGATAGTCAACTTATGCCACTACCACAAGGTGGCGGCCGTCCATTCTTCAGCCGCTATGTAATTATGGGCAAGGAAAAGCGTTCAGCCAAAGAGACCATGGCGCTAGTTCAAAATAAAGCACACTGTGCTATACTCTGCACGAACCCACAGAAACCGCGTTTCAATTTTATAAGCGATAAGGAGATACACACCTGCGCGTATGATCGTAATAATCTCTTCTATGTAGTTATACAATTTTTAATTTACATGAAGACACATCATGAAGGTGCATTGGAAGGTGTAAATTTGGGTAAAAGTGGCGTCAATATTTTATGCGTCATCGATGGTTGAAGCGAATCTAAGTAATTTTCTACGCCTATTATGAAACACATGCACTTACATCTAGGTATAAGTAACTAACAATACAACCTTTAATTTAAAGTAATTAAATAAGACTTGACATGTGGTGAATATAAGTTCACTGCTCTCCTAGGTTTTAAGAGTTAAGTCAATTTAATGTTTATTGAATGTATCTTAAACTAGCTATACAACAATTTCTAATTGATGAAACAATTTCATAAGCAGAAAATATACATATACATAAATATAAACAACGCTCATGTGACTATAAATATTTATTTAAACAAAGCCCGAACAAAAGCGAAACTGCTTATTCACAGTTTGTACATATTTGCACCACGCAGATATATGAGTATGTATGTATGCTTATGAAGTGGCAATAATTTTGCGCGTACTTTTCGCGTAAACTTTTAATTAAAGGGATTTACTGATTTATATCGCAAATCCATGGTACATTCCTTTGGACATTAATCGTTTTGTGCTGTGGATTTATCGTGTCACACGAGTGATTTGTGGCTGGTATACAGCGAGGAGCTGAAACAACAAAGGGAGGAAGGATAGTAGGCAAATAAATATGCTGTTGAAGCAGGTACAAGCGACAAAAGCTGATCAAGCTATCACCACAGTGTTTGGTGGACGTATATATGAGAACACTTGCTTCAGTGTGGTTGAAAAAGAAACAGATTGGCTTAAATATTTTAAGGACTTATGATTAGTTGTAGAAAAACTTGTAGGTTAAAAATTTTGATGACGTGAGCAAAAAACGTAGCTTACTTTTTGGCGTTATTTTTTTTAAAATGAACTCAGCCATTACCACAGTGAGCTACGCATATGCTTCCACATTCACATTCATCGGGATGTGAGACAAAAGGTTCCATGAAGAAGTTTGCAAGGAATAGCGATAATCAAATTATTTCACTTTTCCTTGTGTTCACTCATTGCTTGCTTGATATGCTTTGGATAATGATGAGAATCGGTCTGGATAGCTTAAATTTACGTCTACCAAAATATCTCAGCATTAGGTGTGCCAGGGTTACTCGCCCCTGACCTGTGGCGTAATTTATAACCGTTCGGTTGATGGTGTTGCAGATTGCTAGCAACCTTTGTTTTTGCTTCAGGTGCTACCGGTAAGCGACTTGATGATTTTATTGGGTTTTACATCCGCTGCAGAAAGTGACAATGGGGTTTTGTTGGACGTCGAATTTGACACTCAGACCTAATGTGGACTGCATTCGCGATGGGTTTCGCTGGTACAAAGATGTGTGACACCAAAGAAGTTTATGTTCGGCGACTTAATCCATCCATCCACATCGCTTGAGTGGTGTTAATATTAACCGTAAGAATATAATATAAGATGATAAAAACTAGAGATGAAGCCGTGATAATGTAAAACAATTCCATATTATTTATTTTAGTTTCCTCTTTCCATTCTACATAACCTACACACTGTAAACTCAAACTTCTGCGAATTCCTAAGGGAAGGGTGTTCTGAATAAGTGTAAAAAATCTTCCACCGGAACAATGTTTTTCCCTCTTCCTCCCTCCGTCCCTCTTCTCACTCACTAACTTCATCAGTGCGCTAGAAAGTTCGCTAAAGTGCTGACACGCCCACTAGAAATACAACAGTGTTTTAAAGTTGACACGCATTCGCCGCCACATACATATGTATGCACATACGACCACTTACTACACACGCTCTCGTCCCGAATCGCATGCGAGCAATCGCAGCTACTGGCGGAAGTGAAAACGTGTTAAACAATTCCCGGAGTCCCATACCACAGGAAGTTGCAAGAGGAAGTTTGTTTGCAGTTTGTAGTCGTTGCAACTGCGGCTGCGGCTGCGGCTACGGCGGAGGCTGATGCTGATGCTGTTCAGCACTGCTGCGACTTCGAGTACAACTCCAGTTATTGTCGTCCATGTTGTCAGCTCATAAAGATTTGCTGCTATTGTTGTTGTGTCGCACTTGTTTCTTGTGTTATTGCGTAAATTGAGTGCAATTAAATTGCAGCCGTTAGCGTTGTAGAGAGTGGTGATGGAGGATGCTTGAAGTTGAGTCGTAGTGGGAAGAAGATGAAGAAGAAGAAGAGCAGTAGCTGCAGCAGCATTCATGCGGTGTGAAAAAGCATTGTGCGGTCGGTTACTTAACGACCGTAACTGGCTTGCCAAGCATTCAAAGTATGCTATTTTTGCCTGCGCCAGCGTTAGTATCGAACCACATTTACATATGTACAAGTGTACATGGACTAACAACAAAGCTCTGCAAGGTATGCTTCGCAGTTTGGTGTTCGTTGGCATTTCTGTTTTTTCCCTAACGGTGTTTGGCCCATCGGTCCTATTGGCCATATGCGGTTTTGGTTTTTGCCCAACACTATCAACCAAATGCGCGCACTTCTCCTTGAGCGCCTTCGTGATTTCGATTGTAGCCACTATTGACACTACACTTACATACCGGCATATAAACATATGTACGTACAAGTATGTGCGGCGATTGCGTTGCTCATTTTACACTTTTGTGGTCAGCAGATGCGCCAATATGCATTCGGCAAGTGTTTTGCGCTCCGCTGACTGGCAACGCGTAGTAGCACCACTACTGCACTACACTGTTGTCTACTGCACTTCAGTTTTCTACAATTTTTTCGCTCTATATACTGTGTTGATTGTCTCTCCATGCTCCATTTGGCAGCGAACAATTAAATGGCTTGTTGGTGTCTGGTTCACTAGCTATTCCCTTGTAGCCTTTGTGGTGATTGTGCTCATACATACATACATACATACATACATACGTGTACATACATACATTCAGAGTCATTTGTTGCATCGTCTGTGTGGTTTTAGTGGTGGCGATACATTAACCGGTAATTTAATTGTAACGTTAATGAGGTTATGTTTGTTGGCACCGTTGTCGTCGTCGGTATCGTCGGTGTCGTCGATGTCGTCGATGCCGCCGATGTTTGAATGTGTTTGTGAGCAATTTGAGCTGCTTTAATGTACTCCAATACTAAATTAGTTAATGCGTTGCAAGTTTGTTATTTGAATTTATGGATGAGCGTTTGTGCGGCACTCTAATCGAAAGTTTTGTTTGAACTTAATTAAATTGTTGGTAAACAGGAAGCGTCTGGTTATTGTAGTTAAATCGATCAGGCTATTAGTGAGCCTTTGCTTTTGTAATCATATTGTTAATTGATTTTCGGTGGTGTAGTGCAGAATGTATGTATGTTAGTGTGTGAGAGTGCTTTATTTACTCAAAACGAGTATAAAGCTTGTGGACCAGTTTCAAATATGAAGGTTCCTCAATCTGATTTTAAAGACTCACGAACTTCATCTCACGATTTCGGGTAACACTAACACTCACAAAGTTATTTTGTTTATATTTCTTTACTGAGTATAAACAAATTAAAAGATAATGCAGCTGAACGGATTATTAAAGCTAAATTTTCTAATTGCAATTGCCCCTCGGCAGGGAATGTCAACCCCTCCTAGTGTATTTCTGACAAGAAATAAAGGTTTCTCGGAAAGAAACCATCAGCCCTTTGTAGGCGGCTTAGTATAGGCTGTAGGTCCCTCCATTTGTTGGAAAAACATCAAGACGCAAAACCACAAATTGGAGGATGAGCTCGGCGCCAAGTCGCGTGGTCACAAAACGCCAATTATATATATATTTTCGAGTAGAACTTTATTTTTAATGTTTTATTCATATTCGTATAAAGTTTCGGTATAAATAACGAATTCTGAGTACACTCTTGAATGATCGACAATTTTATGTAAAGGGAGAGTTTTTAAGAGTTATAGGAAGGTTTGAAAAAAACACACACACACACATACAATTCAGAAAAATGCATGAAATCTTTATTTGTATCGATAGTACGGTCCATATAATTTAATGTTTGAAAATTATTTCATGCAAATGTTGACCGTGACTGCCCCTCAAATGGTCCAATTTGGCATACTTTTTTCAGCATTTTGGCTGGTATCTAAAGAATAAATCCCTAAATATGAATTTACATTAGATTTAACATAGTCCCACCAAAATAGTCTAAAGGCGTTAAATCGCACGATCTAGGCGACCAGTTCACCGGCCCCGAACGTCCATTGTTACGTTTGTTGTGCGGCATGTGGCACCGTCTTGTTGAAACCACATGTCATGCAAGTCAAGTTCTTTACGTTACGATTTGCATCATCTTTGAAGAAGTACGGTCCAATGATGGCACCAGCTCATAATCCGCACCAAACTGTGGCTTTTTCTGGATGCGTTGGTAGCTCTTGAAATGCTTCTGTGTGCTCTTCTCTTCAAAATCGACAAATCTGCAAGCGTTGTTCGTTTGTAAAACGATTCATGGTTAAATTATAGATCAAACTGAAGTGCTTTACAGTGATACAGATGGCGAAACGTGCGTCAGCTGTTTAAAACAGTGTTGCCAATAAAAATAATAGCTAAAAAGATTACACTTTCAGGCCTATTCTCATTGTTACCGGTAAAGTAAATTTTGTTACTTTTTTTGGTCACCCGAAATTGAATTTGGTATTCTGGCGAACTGGTTACAATAATTGAAAAAAATTTGGCAGCACTGCTCTTATCGATGTTACAGATACTAAGCGGGAAGAACACACCAAATGATCCTCAAGATTGTGGGACGAAATAGCCCTGAATTTATATTCATTTTATGGGCCGAATAAAACTGCCGCAAAATGGAAAGAGGTAAACATTATATTATATTTTGTTTATATTATCAAACAATAAATTTTTCCATTGTAGTCTCTAAGCAACTGGAAGAAGCAGCTCCGCGCTCGGATGTTCGTTTTCAGGCGAAGAGTTATCGGAGTTCGAGGAACAAGCTCTTTCTGCATTTGGCATGGGCGCAGTCAATGGATTGGAGTGCGTAACCTTGGGTCATCCTGTAAGTAAATAATTTGTCATTTGTTAAATATACACAAAAGTTTCTGCTTACCTAGGGCACATTCACAATTCCTGCGACTCCATCACCACTATGCGAAGAGGAAGAATGCGTGATTGAGGAAACACTGATCGAATCGCCAACCGAGTTAACCGTAGACCCAAATATATCCAACATTGCCGCAGCCTCTGATGCATGGCCTTCGATTGCTCCTACCACTTCTCGGCAAAAAAAGTGACAAAGGATGCAATTTATAAGATGATGGCTGAAGATTTGCAATCTCAAGGCAGCTATATTCTGCATTGATGCGAATGGGGAAAGGGTTGGAGATTTTGGGCAATGCCATCTCAAAATTAGCCAA